AGGGTCTGAAGAAAACGATTTAAGGGGTAGGGTGTAGGGTCCCACCCTTTCTCCTGACATAGAGTCCCTCAACACCCTTTATCAACATCCCACCGCCACCGTCACTGCCGCCACGGATAACAACCAACAAAGGTATCGCGAGAGCACGTTGCAAGTGTCATTGGTATGTGGTTCAAAGTCAGATAGCTAAACCCCAAACTTCGAACTTGCGGAAGCACTAAGCGCACTAAATCTTCGAACCCTTGCCAACTAACATGGAAGCGCAAAAGAGGCCTCGTAAAGACTACTGTCCTTTTGAAAGGGAACTATGTAGGGCTCCTCGTTTGTTTGCCGGAGTCTTCAAAGTACAAAGGCAAGCAGAAACATCTCGAAGAACTATCGAACTGTTCGACTGAATCCATGCGCTCCCCTCGGAAGGAGCCTAAGGAGATAGTGTCCATATTTCTCAGAAGCTTGTAGAATGCCAAACACATGCAAAAGACACGCACCCTTAAATATACGAGAACCCCAAAACCCTCATCATTGTATTCAAAGGCAGCGACAATAGAACCTCAAAACCTTAAACCCTAAACCCTGAACCCTGAACCCTAAACCCAAATCCTAAACCCAAATCCTAAACCCTAAGCCCTAAACCCTAAACCCTAAACCCTAAGCCCTAAACCCTAGTCTAACACCAACTTCCGGAGTCTGCTGGACGAAAATTGGACTTTAATCGGCCGATTCCAAGCAGAAGACACGACGCCTGCCGCTTACCCGAATGATGTGACTGGCCTTTGGTTAGCTGGAAATGCAGGAATGGAACAGAAAATGAGAACTACTGTAATGGCTTATATAGGGTCTACTATAAGGATCCATTCCTTCATTCCTAGCTAACCCAAGGCCAGGTGAGAGGTACATGGGCCTTCCCTGAGAAGTGTAGTACAAACTAAGGTTGGCGTGCATGGGTTTCGTGAGGAGCGGATCCAGAGCTTTCCATAGGTCCTAGAGCAAGGATTTCTAAGCTCAGGTTCTGGGGTTAAAGGCTTGATTAAGGGGTTGAGGGACAGTACACAGGTCATTGAATTGGCATGGGCCTTGAGGTCGTTATACATATATATTTAGGGTTTAGTGTTTAGGGTTTAGGGTTTATATATATAATCATATCTATATGGTTCCGAAAGTAATGGCACTGTGGATGAAAGAAGTCTTGCACCCAGGTATATGCCTTATACCCAAGTGCTGCAAGATGTCCTCCATGTGCTAGTAGATATTTAGGGCTTTCTCAGGATGTCGATGCTTTATCATAATTGACGTAATTGCATTTCCCTCGACGTTCGAATCATGGGACTTCAGCGTCAGGCGACGGCCTATCTAAAGGCTAACCCTAGGGCTCCCAGCTACCTACATAATAGGTTACTGGGCTATGTAACTATAGGGTATATACCTAAACCCTAAACCCTATAGACCCTTGTACCCAGTACCCATTATTTAGCAACTGGAGCCCTAGGGTAAGATGCTAAAAAGGATCCAGCCACAACCTTTCAGGATGGGCGTACCAGCCTTACCTGAGCAGATGCCTTTGGTCTTGAAGTTTTAGGGTTTCGGGTTCAGGGTTTAGGGTTCAGGGTTTAGCCCTTGATACTGAACACGTGCCACCCCCGCAGGATTGTGAGAAATGTTGAGCGTTATGTGATACTGGAAGAGGGCGTGGGGGTAATTGTTAGGGTGGTGTGGTTCCGTTACTCTTAAGGAAACATATGAAACATCCATGAAACAACGTCCTTCACCTGGGAAAAGGATTACGTCTCGTGCGGGACACCCAAACTGATGAGGCGGGGTCTTCAGGGGGCTGAACTACCTCTATAAGATTGAACTATCGGATTTAGAGGGCTTCGGATTTCCTAAAATTGGAAGTACCTTTTTGGGGGTCCCTATAAAATATCCTATGATAAGGACTATGAAGGCACTATGTTTTTCAGCCGCGCCCATCCTCCTTTCCTTCTACTTCTACACGCGCGCGCTCGCATCTAGCCGCGGAAATTTTCTCAGAATTTTGCAGAAATGGATACAGTATACCCCAGAAATCTGTGGTATATACTACGGCCCGATGCGCACACAACGGTGTACCTCAACGGCCCCTCCTCTATTCCCGAACATATGATAACTAGCGCGTGAGTCTATGCACAAACCATCATAGAGTTCATTTTCCAAGAACATACGGTGACCAGAGAATCCATGCCAAGACCATAATAATGTTCTTGTTCCGGCAGCATACGGTGACCAGAGCACCCATGCACAGACCATGATAGCATTCATGTTCCAAAGTATACGGTTACCAGCGCATCCATTCCCCAAACAATGTCAATATTCATGTTCCAAGAGCATACGGTGGCCAGAGCATTCATGCCCAAACCCCCAAACCATAGTAACGTTCGTGTGCCAAGAGCATTCAGTGAACAGAGCATGCCCAAACCATCAGAATCGAGAGCAAACGACGTCCATGTTAGATTATTCTATTTCCTTCCATTATTTGCAGTATCCGTGTTTGTAGGCAGCAGCGTCAGGAGCTTCAGGCGCCAGCGCACCAGCAAGCCAGCATGCAAGAAACGCAGCAGGAGGATCATGCACAACGGGCAGGAGACAAGCAAGAAGCTGAACGTCAGGTGGGGGTGGGGGTGGGCATGGGAGCCACGAGGCTACAATTAAAGCGACTTCCGAAGGATTTTCTTGGGGTAGGTTGGGATGAGGGGTTTAGGGTTTTTAGGGCTTAGCATACTGCTTCTGAAGGCTTTGTTCGTGTGCCCGGTTTGGTACAGGGATGTTGCGACAAAGGCTTTCTGATGATTCTGAGCACTTCCTTACTGCCTGGTTGTTCGGCTACTGACGTGGACGCAGACTTCTTCTCCTACAAACCATTTGCGTTTCAAGATAAATTCAATCCCCAAATTTAAACACAAAGTACTTTTGCCGATGAAGAGAGTTTCTTCTCCTGACGTGCAACATTGAGAGCCATCGCAATGTGTTAAGCACTTCATAGCGCTAAACGCACTATGTTTGCACGCTATTAGGAATCCATAAGCCAAAAACACTGAGAAGATCGTCTCTTTCAAGAAGCCGAAAGGACAAATGCAAAAAATCCCTACGCACGCGCGCCCTTCTAGTTGCCATTCCTTATACCCTGAATGGAAGGCAGCGAAGTCTAAGCACCCTCACGGGTGGTCGCAGCGTTAAAGGTCGTTTCAGGGTTCTGTTGCAGCCTGCTTGCATGAATTCGGTCGGCTATAAAGTCCTAAACCCCCAAGCTCCAAATACTGAAGCTGATGAAACTCGAAGCTGCTCAGACGTGGCTGGAATTCAGCGATATCCAACGACTTCACTGGAAAGCATCGGTGTTGTGCACACATCACAAGCGCCGGCGGGGAGTGTCCCACACAGCGGAGAGTAAAAGCACCTGGTTCCGGGGCTTTTGGATTCACCTGAGGTGTGACTGTTCCTTTGCCTGAGGTATCAGTTGCATTCAAGGTTTGGCACAACATGGCTGCTTCAGCGGATGGAGAAAGGATGTTGGTGCTTTGCAACCGGTGAAACTCATGGGAGTTCCTCGTAACGGCCCCTACATAGTCAGAACTCAGTTTAGGGCTGAAGGCTTAAGGTTTAGGCACAATTCCTTATACCGTGATTCCCTTAAATGTATCATATAAATATCATTCTCAATGGAAAGAAATCCTAAGGGGATAGGAGCATAATTCCCATGTGGTAGTAGTTCAGAAAGCCTGTCTCCAAAATGGCCATAAGACAGGTTCCTCCTTTTGTTAGGACGACACCCCTTCACGGAAGGAAGTGTATTCGCAAGGATCTCTCGTTTAGGAGAACCTTTAGGGTTTAGGGTGTAGGATTTGGGGTTTAAGGGTTTAGGGTTCGGGGTTTAGGATTTAGGGTTTAGGGTTTAGGTTTATCATTGAGTCTAGAGGACTGATTACCCATATCATCTGGAAGTCTATTTAAGGCACCCTATGCCATAACTATGCCCCCTTTTCCATGTGATTCTCCAACATTACGCAAAACCCCGAAGCCCCTAAACCCCATGATGTTGGTCACTACTTCTGCTAGTTCACCCTCAAGCCTGAACCCTAAACCCTAAATCCCAAACCCTAAACCCTAAATCCGAAATCCTAAACTCAAAACCCCTAAACCCAACACCCCTAAACCCCTAAACCCTAAACCCTAAACCCCTAAAACCCTAAACCCTAAATCAGAGAAACTCCCCGGTCCTGGGAGTCGGCAGCTCTAGGAGCCAACATGCAGACCCCGAAGAAACAAGACTTGCTGAACAAGGCGTCTTGGGGTGTAGGGTTTCGGATTTAGGGCTTAGGATTTAGGGTATTGTACCTTGAGTTTATGATTTGGACGTTCAGGTTTAGGGTACAGTATTTTGAGTGTAGGATATCGGATTTGCTACTTTGGGTTAGGATTTTGGGTTTATAGGGCTAATGTAGCGCCTCTTTCAGAGTTTATGTGGAGTTTGGATATTTGAAGGTTTGCATACAAATCATTTTAGGGACTATATCTAGGGCTGAATTTGGGTTGGTATTGGACTCGTTTGGGGTTTATATAGGCTTATGTAGAGGTTTGCGCAAGGCGTCCTTTAGGGTCATTTAGGGTGTGCATATCCGCGGGTTTGTGTAAGGTTTAGGGTTGCCCCGTACAGAAAGAACTTCAAACTGAGGGGAAGCCCCCGCACGCCTGCTGACCGATGCCACAGCGACAGAAAATCATGGACAAGGGGGACTTGATCCAAATTACGGTTCCCAGAACCCCCAATATAGGGCCTCCGATTACACGCAATATACGAAAATCCTCATAATGTCATATGGCTTCCCAATAAGGAAACATAGTGGATGTAGGAGGGGACCCCAGTAAATGATTCTATATAGGCTTATCATGACAAACTCCTACTTTGAAACCTTGCATATCTTGCCAAGTAGTTCGCTGGGTCGTCAGAGGCGCTATAAGATCCGAGATCAGGAGGAAGAAATCACCGCAGCTGCTTGAACGGCATGCGAGACAGTCATGATCGACCTCGGGCAGATCAGCTGCACAAGCGAAATAGGTACACTACAGCACACAAGTGCAGAACAATGATTTGGTTGCAAGCCTACAGAATGGTCCCTGTTTGTAATTTCAACTGTTTCCCTCCCTGTGCACAGGCTGCACGCAAGATGAATTGAAGTAGGTCAGTGACCCGAGGTTGTCAGATCTAGGTCTGAACGTTTAGACTGAAGTTTGGGTGTACTGTGACGCTTTAGGGTTTAGGGTTTGGGGTGCTTCAAGGAGAACATAATTCTCACAATGAATGGGATGACGTTCCGAACTATTCCAATCTCTATAGAACTGTCGAATGAAGGCATCTTAGGCAATGGAACCTTGTCAACGGGGTCCTTAAGTGGTAACAATGCTGATATTTGGCATTGGCGCGAGTCTGGGCCTCCTTCAATATTCGGAAAACCATAGGATCATCGTTATGGCAGGCCTAACAATGGAGCCATAGTGTCCAGAGTCCCACACATAAGTCGATCATGTTTCTACACGTTACCTACACAAACTCCTTCGTGCTCTGCTCAGGGTATATCTGAAAATATCAAAAACAAAACCTCCACTTCTGCCCAAATGCCCACGTCGTCCGGCCCTTCCACCGGAGGGCGAAACGGGCTCGGCGCTTGCAGCTGACTGACGGTGGTTCACCTGAGTACTGTTCTTTTGTTTTCAGGTTACACGGTTTAGGGTTTAGGGTTTAGGGTTTAGGGGTTCATTATCATTACTAGGGTTTGGCGGGGCGGATTTTGCACTTGAGGAACTAAGGAAATTTGGGAACCTCAGGTTTAATTAAGTAATGGCGTTTGTGGTCTTCTAAAAATGCCGCGGAAGGAGGACGTAGACGTACAGTATTATCACGAAAAAATGTGACATAGCCCCTACACAAGCCCTGCTTTTGTTGCATGTTCCATGGTTTCTCCCTCCCTAAACCCCGAAGCCCTAAAGTTTAGAGGCTACCTACGAACCATAGTCTACACCCCTAGCATCCCCCTTAATCACCCCTATAGCAGTCCCGCATATTTTGGGTTTAGGGCTGAGGGTTACCCTAAACCCTAAACCCTAAACCCTAAGGTTAAGGGTTTAGGGTTCAGGGTTTAAAGGCTTTCGGGTTCAGGGTTTAAGGCTGTAGGTTGCCTTTGAAAGGTTTCGAACCAGAGAAATTGGAGCCCTAAGCAATTTCAAGTGGATTTGGGGTTTAGGGTTTAGGGTTTACTGTTGGACTGATTCGACGCCTAGTAGCAACTCAGGTGGTGAAAGAGGCATGGGCGTAAAAGGCAACAACTTGGGCAGAAGGCGGGAGTCGTCCCAATAGAGCTTTCCCTACTTGGAGGGTCAGGGGGACCTAGTAATTAAGTAGGTTAACAATGTGGATAATTAGGGTTACTATATCGGTTATAGAGGTCATTAATCTACTTACTAAGTCCCCCTGACCCTCCAAGTAGGCCCTAGCTGAATATTCCACCATCCCGTCACAGGGGTCCTATTGCTGTAAATCTAAGAACTGTGGAACTTCCCAAACATATTTTACTACAAGATCCCTTGGTGTACGTCAGACGCAGAATATTGAGGGACCTTCTGACCGAAGGAGGCTCGCATGATCCAAACTCTGGCAGGCATCCACATCTGTATCCCTTAGAAGTCCTGAAATTCATATGCGGTACCCTCCAGGATCCTCTACACACGCATGAGCTTTCATGAGCTGGGCTAGACAAGGAGCCGTGATTTGAGAAAAAGACTAAAATGATTTGCTAACGGGAGTGCAGCAACGTGGTACAGAGCTGTGCCACGGAGATTGAGACTCCTCCTGCGATCAGTGGCACTTTCAACTTGTCACACAGTAGAGGGAGGGGGTCTGTGGGGGTCTCTTGGGGTTTTGGGGGCTTACATGAGCCGTAATCTAAACTCGTATTTTCCCCTGAATATCCCCCATATTTGCCTTTGGAATCCCCTTTATAACCCCCTTGCAGGAGTGTAGACTACATCTTACATGATTTCGGGTTGGGCGATGGTCAAAAGATAAGCCTTTGTATCCACATCCCTGTACCTGGAAAGCTTACTGCAATTGCACTATGTCATATTTTAGTGGCCAAGTAGACATATTGGGAACTGTGTTTAATAAGAGGTGGGTGCGAGTTACCTCTGTGCTATTCACAGCATTGCCCGTGACTCATACCAGGATTTCTCCAGGATGGCGATGTGGAGCGGAAGCCCATCCTATCAACAATGTTCCACATCTCCACCCAAGCCCTAGAGTCTAGACCCTATGTCTTAGACAACCTGACTCAAACAACTGCTCAAGCCTCAGCCTCAGGGGGACATGGCACGATTTGAAGGTCGCGGGGTCGGTCGGGGTCCTGATGGAACCCGAGGGTTCTCTGATGACTGAGGCCCACTGTGAAAGGCACAGATGCATCCACCCCAAACCCTGAACCCTGCATCCCAAGCCCTGAACCCTAAACCATACATCCTAAATTCTTAACCCTAAATCCTAAATTCTTAGCCCTAAATCCTAAATCCTAAACCCTTAACATCCTAAATCCTAAACCCTAAATCCTAAATCCTAAACCCTATAATCCTGAACCCTGAACCCTAAACCCTGAAGCCTGAGGAGGCGCAGAAAAATGGATAGCAAGTGCTGTATGAAAGCATCTGCATATCAGCACTGAGAACCCCATCCGGCACGAGCTGTATACTGATGCCTGAGTCCTCGCAATGGCACTTCCCTTAATATTTAATGTATACTAGTAACTCTAATGATCATAATGATTGATGAATTACAACAATCACTATTAATTTCAGGAATATTAGGACTCGTGCCAGCCACGATCATGCCGTTTCTCTTGGTGATGTTGGCATCGCCACGATAGGGGTTGAAGTCTGAAGATACGAGAAACACCCTGAACCCTAAACCCTAAGACGCCTGTTCACACTGTTCATTTCTAAGCACCCTGCTGCCTCCTAACTGGTTCTACGACTACATGAAGAAGTCGCTGAGGACGCATGGGTAGATACCCATTGCGCAAGAATACCAAGTGATGTTCGAACAACTACTCATGAACCTCCAACTAGCACCAGTTCCCCATCAAAACCCTAGAACCCTAAAGCACTAACCCCCAAGAGCAACCCTAAACCCTGAACTGCGGTGGAAACACTATTCAAAATGATCATTGTAAATCTATATTGGGCCCAGGTATACAGAAGAATGAAAAATGTTCTTCAACAAGAGCCCAGTGAATCCTAAACCAAAATCCAGAACGAAAGCGAGCACTGCCTCCGATTGACGGAAATCGACTCGAAGAAATGTTCTTTGCCTGAGATGACCAAGATTTCGGGTTCTTATTAGTGTGGCTCATATTACACTTGTTATTGTCCACAAGGTTAATGGGCCCTAATCCTTACGTAACCTCAAGTCTTCAGCCTAGACCCTAAACCTTACTTGGAGGATCAGGGGGACTTAGTAAGTAGGTTAATCATCCCTATAACCCACAAAGTAGCCCTAAGTATCCCCATTATTAACCTAGTTACTAAGGCCCACTGACCCTCCAAGTACCCACTGGACAGGTAAGTTGCCAACTCGGATGAGCTCTGAGCTTTCCGCCGCCAATGTTGTGCACCTGAAGGCAGAAACCCTAAACCCTAAACCCCTCCCTCCGCAAGCATGGAACCTTTCGTGTCAGCTCAGGCGAGGCTAGCTTACGGTTTAGGCAAGGGCTTAGGTATTAGCGTTTAGGGCTCAGGGTTTAGAGCATGGTCTCAGGTCTTGAACTGAATACTACATGAAAGTGATTCGATGGAGTGCGGACTCATGGTGGCTATATATCTGAAAGACCTGCAAGAGTAGTTAAAAATATTTTTGGACTTAGGTGTCGAGGCTTTGCAATTGAACTAAGAGCGAGCTTCCCAATGGTGGTCTCCCTCTTGAACATCTTCTAGAAGCCATATAAAAACTAGAAGCCATGTAAAACATGCACCGTGCGACACCCGTCAGTACTACTAGCACATTAATTATAGCTAACATTCGTAATATCAATACCATTATTACAAATGAGTACAAATGGTGTTATGAAATATGAAGACGAGTACCAGCTGCTTTTGCTGCTGCCACCGCTGCTCTTGCTACTACTACCACGGTGAAATCCTGCATGACCTTAAACACCTTATACCTTGCGAGTTATGGCATTATAGTACAGCAAGGTCATGCAGGATTTCTAGTATTAGCAGTAGTACTAGTCTTTGAACCCTAAACCCCCAACCCTAAACCCAGGAGCTTTAGTATCAACAGTAGTAGTACTAGTGCCATATGAGCTATAGTCTAAACTCCTAGTATCCTCCTTAATAACCCTCATAATAGTCCCCCATATAACCCCCCATATGTTCAGACTATAGCTCATATACCAACCCTAAACCCTAAACCACCCTGCCTCGAGAGGACCGGTCCTTCCTCCTCCAGGCAATGCTCGTCAACAATAAGCGGTGAGACCACGCTCATGTTCGTATGCAAACTTTCCGTCCTCAAGAATAGGAAGGCTCCGGCTTTCTAGGAGGTGTGTTTAAGGTTTTGGGTTTAGGGGTTTGGGGGCTTAGGCTTTAGCATGCAGGCTTCAGGGTTTGAGGTTAGGGGTTTAGGGCTTGGGGTTTAGGGTGTAGGAGTTAGGGTTACCTCGACCTCTCAGGTATGACATTTGGTCGTTCTAGGATGTTGGGCTGAGATCTGCTTGGCTTGAATTGGGAGTTTCCCAGAATCAGGGATACCTTTTTGGTGGTCCCCATTATAAGGACTATAGTTTAGGTGGACCCCCCACCCAGTCATAGTGACTATACGGAGTAGTAAGGATTATAGTAGGGCCCTCGTATATTCCTACTATACCACTGTTACAGGGTGGGGGGTCCTCCTAAACTATAGTATTTGGGGGTCTATAGTGGGGTCCCCATATTAATAGGGAAACTACCAATTGTAGAAGTGCGGCGCTAAGCCACCATTCACTCTGGAGGGTGTGAGCGGAGAGCTGTTCAGACTTCCTGGACACTTTCGTCCTAAATCGATGTTGTGAGGGATGTAGGACCCTAAACCCTAAACCCATTCCCAAATTTAAGGTCTATCTACTTGGGGGCTCAACTCATTTTGTATATCCCAGACAGGCGGTCTGGGGTTAGCGGAGGCATCAAAGATGGCAGCACTCAAAACAGACGAGCCAACAGCTGCTAGACAGGTCAAACTAAGGGAACTACAAGCCTTCATTTGGAGTTTAGGGTTTACGGTGTTTTTCGGGCTTATCTCCTAAAGCTTACTTGCATTCTGAGGGACCACTGCATCACAAAAAGCCACGAGAACTGCAAACATTTATAAGCTGAAGGCATCTATCAAGGAAGAACAGCACAAGGGGCCAGGTGCTGCAGCGGAAAAGCTTTCAATGGATTTAAAACCAAAGTCCTGAACCTGAAACCCTTAACTCTAATTGAACCTAAAGAACCTAAAGTCCTGAACCTGAAAGCCGAATTAAGCCCCAAAGTCTTGAACCGTAAAAGTAAACCCTAATCAAAGCAAAATTCCTGACCCTTAAAACCTAATCAACACTTGAAAATCCTAAACCCTAAGCCCTTTCCCTGCAGAACGGTCGTGGCAAGGGTTTGCTACCGGCCCTTTGGAGGAATCCTCATACAACTCAAAAGTAAAGTACGGAGTATCCTAAGGATAGATGGTGACTACAGCGGATATGTTGTGTTTTTTCTCTTTTTTTGGGGGGGGTGGGGGGTGGGGCGGGTGGGTGCTGAACTCACCCTCATCCCTCAACATCGCAATGCAGACCCTGCACCCCCCACCCCTAAACTCTAAACCCAAGACCCTGAATCCACAGCATGAACCTCAATTGTCTCATTTGAGAGCCAGCATCGGGCCCACAAGGCGCTTTGTGATGCGAAGGCGACCTGAAACCAGCACCCAAGCGGCGTCCGCCACATTGCCTTCGGAGGCTAAGCTACATTATGTAGGGTGTATGCCTTGGAATTAGGTGGTAGAGTTGCGCTTGGATTTGGCAACTTTAGGCTTGAAAGCAAGGTAAAAGGACTGCACTTCTGGTCCCCATCCGAACTTGGAGGTGGATGTGAATAGAGTTCTTGCAGGAGGGGTGGTTGCGTTGAGAATTGTTTTCCTTACCCCAAACCTTATATCCTTCAGCCTGAAACATTGCAAGCATACTGGAAGATCCCTTGGCTGTTGCCTTACACCACACTGGCAAAGCAACTGGAACAGGCTGCGGGGGCACAAGAAGGTATCGGACCTCTGAGCAATCACAGAAAGGCAAGAACATTAGAAGCCCTAAACCCTAAACCCTAAACCGAAACTAAAAAAATGGAACTGGAGGAGGGAGAGGAGCAGGAGAACGAGGAGCAAAAGAGGAGGAAAGGAGGCTGGGCCACAATGTTGTCCCCATGAAGCCTCCAAAATAGCTATTCACTCCTACACCTCCTAAGACAGTCGGCTCTGAGCCTCTGTTGTAAGATCCCCCTAGACCCTAAACACCCGAAACCACTTTCAAAGATGGGGTGCCTCCATGGTGCAACCAAACTCGTGCAATCATCTTCTCACTCCACCTTCTCCTCCCCGATCTTGCTAAATCCTGAAACCTAAATCCTAAACCCCAAAGCCTAAACGCTGAATCCTAAGCCCCATATCCGAAGCCCTGAATCCTAAACCCTAACCCTGAATCCTAACCTCTAAGCCCGAAACCCGAACTTTTCTTCCCTGGCCTGCAGTGCTGACGGCATCTCCTTGCATCAGGTCAAAGGTTTCCGCGGCATCGCAGATCTTCTCTATGCCTCGAGTGGCGTGCGTGGAGACTACGTTTGAGGGTTTAAGTTTTAGGGCTTAGGGCTTAGGGTTTGGGGGGTTTAGGGCTCAGGTTTCCAGAGAGAGGCGCCCCAATATAGATCCCAAATATGTTTGCACCCAAGATCCGTCTTAAAGGCCACAAGGCGCCTCTTAGCTCCTGGTGACAAAACACACACCAGGAAAAACCTTGACATTGCTGAGCACAACACATAGTAATTTCCATAAGTAAGGGGACCCTAATAGAGACCCCAATATATTTTACTCCTCATTTTCGGGACCCCCAAAAGGGTGCCCCGAATTTGGGGAAACTCTAAACCCTAAACCCGAAATAGTAGCTTCCATTTTCTTTCCCATTATCTCTAGATAACCCCTATAAACCCCTATGAAGATACTCCGAATTTTGGGAAACCCCCACAGCTCAACATTCAAAACTGCAGCAGGTCATGCGGGACCAACGAGCCCTGGGCCTTCATTTAAGCCCACTAACGCCTTGAGGGTTTAGGGTCTAGGGTCGAGGGTTTAGGGTCTAGGGTTTAGGGTTTAGGGCTTAGGGTCTAGGGTTCAGGGTCTAGGGTTTAGGGTTTGCTATGTCACAGATTCATGCGTCTTACACTTCTGCCAGAAAGCCCCAAGCGTTGACACTTCAATGCAAGGATTGTTATGGGACCATTTTCTCACCTTAGTATGGAACGAGGGGATATGCTATCTATATAGGGGCTATATATTATATTGCCACGAAGAACCAATAAGTTTTTGGTGAGCATTCAAGCTTCTACGTCACTTTGACTGCCCGACGAGTCGCTGTCCCTTTCCAGCTCACGCATCAGGGGTATCCTCTCCAAGTACATGCGCACCTGCACTCTTGAGCGCTGGAAGGAATTTGGGCTTTTAAGTTTCAAGGATTTAAGGTTTTGATGACTAAGTACAAGAAATAAGTGGTGGAGGCATGTTACCTGTAGGGTATGACATACTCGCGGGGGGGAACAGCACAAACAGTTCTTCAAGCTATAGTCCCCATTTGCAGATAGAGTCAGAATATGGAAGTCCGCAAAAACTTTATCAAATCATAATATGTCCCTTATTGAATCTACCCAAGGAGACTGTACTACGGTCATGCCGCTGGCGCACGGGTAGAGAGTAAGTTGCAGGTGTTGCCCCTGGTAAATGTCAAGCTCCGACTAAAGCCACCCAACTTATGGCCTTGCCTCTGCGCTACTTTTATAGCCCTTACGTAAGTAGATAGAATATTAGGGCTATATTGGGATAATGGAAAATAAAATGGAAACTACTATATTGGGTTGAGGGTTTAGGGTATAATCCTCCTTAAGTAGATAGAGTATGGGGTATATTGGGATCCTATTATAATATACCCAAACCATATTCTATCTACTTAAGGGGGACTATTTCCCCCCAGGAACCTCCAAGCGAACGTCTAAGCATCTGAACAGCTGGAGAAGGATGGGGACAGGATTGTCTTGGTTCAATTTGCAATCCAGACCCAATAGTGATTGCAGGCCCCAGACCTTCTGGCTCAGTGCCTTTTGCATGAAAAACCTTCGCAGGTCGGGCGTTTTCACGAAGGATCCGATTTTATGGCCACAGAAGTGCTGATGATACCTGTCGCCACGTCTTTGTAGGGCCCCTCGTCGATGGCTCAAGAAGTTCCAGGGAAGACTTTTGCTCCATGAAGGCAATCTACTTGCTATGCTACTGCTCGTAAGCGTCATGTAGCGACTTGTCAAGACATAGTCCTCTAGTAACCAGAGAAATCAGAAGAATTTAAAACCTTGACCTTAAACCGCCATATTCCTAGACTCAAAATCCCGCTTAGTCTCTATTTCCCCTCTAGACCCCTGAAGTCCATGAAGTGCAAGAAACCTGTGATCGTCGTATCTGGCTCTTCAGAGGATCTGGCAAGTAGTTCATGAGAGCAGCTTCCTGTCTGTGTCATGGGCGAGCATAGATCAGGCGAGATTGTCTTATTGGTTCTTTGTCCGGTGTAATGGAATATGATACTTATAAAATCACCATAATATATATTTCCTTATTCCCTACTAACCCTCAGCAGGTGTTGTGGGAGCCCCGTCATGTCCACGGTAGAGGGTTTGGAACTGGGCACACGGGCCAGCGCACTGACGTCGAGGGATTTCAAATGGGATCCGGAATTTAGTTGGAGGGTCAAGGGGACTTAGTAAGGAGGTCTAGAACTCCTATATCCCCTTATAATGACCCTGGTTATCCCCGTTCTCAACCGAGTTACTAAATTCCCCTGGCCCTCCAAGTACGGTTCGGGGTGTAAGTGCGAATCTTCGGATTCGAGGAAGACCTCCACAATAATGTAGACCCATAGGGGTAATATTGGGATTATATAGGGATTATGGAAAAGAAAATGGAAACTACTATTTAGGGTTTAGGGATTAATAAACCCCCCTCCTTTTAAGGCCCAAGTATTAGGATCCCTATTATAATCACTGTTAAGGGGAGGGGGTGTATTAATCACGGGTTTGGGTTACCCAAAACAACTGCCTTCAAGCCGCCAAAAATGAAAAAATCTACTGCAATGGGCACGAAAGAAGTGTGGTTTGTGTAGACGTTGGCCCTTGGAATCTATCCCCAGCTAAGTCCTCGCGAGATCAGGTGCTTCAACTTAGCTGGCAAAGCAGCCGGGCCCCAAACTGAAAAAGGCTTCTGCACTCAGGTGGTAGCTTCCATAAAAAAAGAGACCCAACTATAAACAGCCCTAAACCCTACAGAATCCTGATTATAGGGACCCCTAGAGTGGATCCCAATTTCGGAAGCCCCCCATGGCCCCTGTCCAAGAAGCATCCCCCCTTAAGTAGATAGAATTTGGTTTTGGGTACATTATAATAAGATCCCCATATACTCCATATTCTATCTACTTAAGGGGGACTATAAACACGCCCCCCTTCCCAAATACTCGATATTCACCCCAAAATGGGGCCTTACATGTCGGGGGGGACATGTTTGATATTAGGCGGTGGGGAGTGCCAACCCTAAATCCTATAGGGGGCATTTCAATATTTTCTAAGTTCCCTGAACTCTAAGTGGAAAATATAATCTCAGCTGGTTACTAGGATTAGAGATAGCAGATTGTTAAAACAAAAAAACGGCTTCCGGTTTTTGTTTGAGGGACTAACTTGTTTGAGAGGGAAATCCCAAGTGCTCAATAGCCAGCAGACCGAGAAGATTCTATTCGGACGGTCAGGAGGACTTAGTAACTAGGTTATTGTACTGTATATGATGGGGACCTTTGGGGACAACAATTGTGACTACATGGAATATGTGGGTGTAGGGGTTACTAACCTACTTTTGTCTAAACCTTAGACCCTAAACCCTAAACCCTCCAACCCGGCTCCAAGAGGAATACCTCGCCGGGGCCTACCCGAAAACAGCCCTTCCTTCGCGTGAATTCGGCGTCGGTCGAAGATGTACCTCAAGAGCAACAGTTTAGGGTTTGGGTTTTTGGGGTTTGGGTTTACTGTTTTGAGCTTTTGCGAGTTGAGAGGCAAGGGCACAGGGAAAATCTCAATGACCCATGACATAATCACGAGCATCTGTACGTTTGACCTGCTGATGCCACAGCTTTCAGCACCTGAATCATAGCACCAGAATGTTTACCTGATTGCTCTTATTTGGGTTATGACTATGCACTTGCTTAGTTCTAGTTGTTGCAATACGATCAAACGCAGAATTTTGATTGTGAGTGAACCTGATGACCATGACAAACTCACAAGTCAAGAGTTCTTCAAAAGGTGGGACCAAGACAGTTCCGTTGCTGCTGGAGGTTCACGACTTCCCGCCAATAAGGTGGATACTCTTTGCAGGCAGACTGCTCAACAAACATGTGTGTGAAGGCACTTGAGGCGCAGCGTGGCTACAGTACGTGTAGCGCCAATGTCCGACGCTCTCAGAAGGAGAACGACTGTCATTGCAGAAAAATCTTAGCCACTAGCCACAAACATAATATCAAAAATGATCGCACCATATCCCACCAAAAGTAACAGCCAGCCTTAACAGGACTCAGCAGTTAGCACCATGAGTCCCCTTAAACCCTAAACCCTACCGGCCTCAGGTACGCCTTCACCTTCAACTGAATGGTATCCTGCAAAGACTTAGGGTTCGGAGCCCCTCCTGTTCGGTTTCAGGATACATCTCTTCTTGGCCCTAGGCAAACCGTAACGAACAGTCGTGAGTCTGTGGTCAGTGCACCTGCTTGTGCATTTAAGTTACTGGTGTTTAGCAGTGACTAAGGCAATATAATCCCTACAGTATATAATCCCCATAGAATAGATTCCCCGATTCCCTACTAACCTCAGTAAGTTAAAGTCCTGGAGGTTTGTGTTTTCGCGCTTAGCCGGGTCTAGACTCGAACAGAGCAGAAGGGCATGCAACGGCAATCGGCTATGAACTGCCTGGGCCCAATAAAATGGAGTTTTTCCAGAACGGAGATGTCTGGGGAAGGATCCCTTGATATTTCTGCCAACCCTGCTTGCTGCTGCATTCAAGTCAACCTCCTTGAAGCCAGCCAACCTTGAAGCACAGGACCTTCAATGTTCACTATAGGGTTCAGCGTTGAGGACCACAAGATCGTAAGGGATAATTACCCCCAAGTATGGAAAATCAAATGGAAAAATCCCTACACTAAAAACCCTAAACCCTCCAAAATGAAATGCAAGCCAGGAATGGTCTCCGAAGTCCGGTCTAAAACTCTCCTTGATCTAGCAATTTCAATGCCCCAAGACCCCAACCGCAGCAATGGTCATAGCAGCTATATGGGTGTCAAAATTATGATCCCTTTTTGTATACCCTACATATGAGGTGCCCTATTGCAGATCAAAAAAGGACCAATAATTTTGACAACCACAAACATGAGAGTCCCGGTGGGCGGTAAAAACGGCTGTCGCTACAGCGTGCGGGTTCTGGGGAGATTACAAAGCCCCTGTACCGCAAACTCTTGACCCTTCACCGCTCAAGTTCACAGAAAGCTCCCATAAGGTCGTTTAATGTTTGAGGTTAGGGGGTTTAGGGTCTCAATGTAATCGGAAGTCCCAGTAAATTGCCCAGTCGGCTTTCCCACTCAGCAAACAGTCCCCAAGATCCAACCCCTCAGACCCCAAAGCATAACCGCTAGGCCTTCCTATTCACTAGGGGCCTCAAAAGGAACTTATGAACCCCACTATGGGCCCGTGCTGTACTAAATTTAGGGGAGCCCCCCCCCCAATGTAGCACCCTAAACCCTAAACCCTAAACCCTCATTGATTCGCATGTCCTCGACATGCGTTTTCTGGAGATGCATCCTAACGGCTGCTAGCTCCTGGTCAAGGTTTAGGGTTTAGGGTTTAGGGTTCAGGGTTTAGGGTTCAGGGTTCTTTAAGGCTTAGGGTTTAGGGATTCAGGGTTTAGGGTTCAGGGTTTAGGGTTCAGGGCTTTTTAAGGTTTAGGGTTGAGGGATTCAGGGTTTAGGGTTTAGGGATTCAGGGTGTAGGGTTTAGGGATTCAGGGTTCCGGGGGCTCCAATGGAGAATCATATGGAAAATAAAATGTAGGCTGATAATACATATATATATATATGGTACCCCCCCCATGAACCCATGTATATATATATATATAGTTATTTATATACACATAGATATGGGGCTATATAGGGATTCTGCAGCACCAAATTCAAACCTAAATACTGTTTCCGCAGAAACTGTGGCAACTGTCCAGGAAGAATAGGTATCCTAACTTATTGTTTGAATTTTCTGAGCTCAGTATCCAGCCTCTCATCATTGGCTCTCTTAAGCCCAAGAGACCGTCCTCGTTGAAAATCCTGCGGCGATCCCAGATCCTCATGACAACATGAACTCAACGCATCACTGCGATTGCAGAGTAAGATAATGTTGAAATGACTTAAGTGGTTGTTTCCCAAGATAAGGCACCCCAATGTAGACCCCAATAGACTATAATACTTATTATAGCAACCCCCAAAAGGTACCCCGTATTGTGGGGAAAGCCCTAGGTTGGGTGTAGTGTAAGGATTAGGGTCGAGGGTTTTAAGCATACTCCAGCCCTGTCGAGGCCTGTGCAGCGACAAGAAAGGTGTGAGGTCTGTTGCTTGGAGACGAGGTGCCAGGTAGACACTAGACCCCTGCTACTGCTGATGCTACAAATCCTTTATGACCCAAGTACCCTAAACAATGGAAATTCCGGAGTTCAGTACCATAAGGTCATGCAGGATTTCTAGCAGCAGCCGTACGTAGGATTGTTTTGCTTCAGGTCTCGCTCGTGCAAGCAGCAGAGCCCGCGCATGAGTATATAATTTTCATACCAGCATAGTAAGTAGGTCAATAACCTTATAATGCATAGTAGCCCTAGTTACCTAGTTGGCGCCACGATTAACCTACTTACGAAGTCTCCCTGACCCTCCAAGAAATTTGTTCAACGCGAATCCGGCTAGAAATCTGCCTGAGTCCGCGTGGCATGCAGTATTCAGGATTTAGGGTTTTGGGTCAAAGGTTCCAGTCTTGTACCCCAAAACAGCCTCTACCAGGACAGGCCTGTGAAAAGGCAGTTATGGATTTTTCGTGAAAGTGGGGACCTCTGAGATATGTAGTGATGATCATGATGCAACGGCTCCAATGATGGATTGAGTGGTGGTCATCTTGAAAAACACTCATATCCACGAATCCCATGATCAAAATTCCGTGTACCGAAACTGAGACATGCATCAGGAAGAGATGTTGGTGATGTTTAAGGATTGAGGGTTTAGGGTCTAGGAATATCTAGACCCGCATGCCATGTTTGAACCTCTATAAAGATCTTCAGCCCTGATCTCATATAACTCGCTCAAGAATACCTGCCTTTCAAAAGTTCTCATTCAGAGTGTACTATTACCGCACAATAAGCACATGGACACATTTCACCAATGATTCTAATGACCCTACAGGTAACCCTAAAATCCCTAAACCCTATATTGACGCTAGCCCAAATGATAGTTTCCGAGAATAAGGGGGCCCCAATATAGATCCCCAAATACTACAAGCCTTCTTATACGGACCCCAAAAAGGACCCCCTATTGCGGGAAACCCCCACATGGGGATGCCCAGGCTTGGAGAAACCGCCATGTCCATGTAACCTAAACCCTAAACCCTCAACCCTAAAACCCTAAACCCCTAAACCCCTAAACCCTCAGCCCTCAAAACCCTAAACCCTAAACACTGAACAATAAACCCTAAACCCTAACCCCTGAACACTGAACAACCCTAAACCCTAAACCCTAAACCCCAAACCTGGCCAAGCAACTTAAAGAATGCCTGTGTAATGAGAGAGACACAGATGGCCTCAGAGTCAAGGACTTGGGTGTTTAGCATCCCCAACACATAGGGGTTATATAGGGCTTAAAGGTTTAGGGTTTAAGGGTTTAGGAGTTTAGGGGCTTAGGGTTTAAGGTTCAAGGGTTTAAGGGTTCAGGGTTTAAGGGTTTAGGGTGTTAGGGTTTAGGGTTTGGGGGTGTATAGGGGATACATAGGGGATATATAGGGGTAAGTTGAGGGTTACATAGGGGATATGTAGGGGCAACATGGGGTTATACAGGGATGATGGAGGTCTCTTCTAGGTTTAGGGTGTAAGGTCTGAATCAAGGAGAATATTGGCTCGAGGCTATGAGAACTGACCATTTGGGAGTGGAGAGTCTCCAGTCTTTTGTGGACTGAAGGGTATATGGTTGGCGCTATTTAAATCTGGGACGCATGGCCTTGTCCCGGAGTTGAGCCTATAGTGTTTAGAAACTCAGGCCTAAGGTTTAACGATCCAACTCCTTTAACGAGGTAGTGAGTTTCGAAGACCGCCTGCGGAGCTTCAGGCAGAAGCCCCCCTTCGACATGTTTTGGTTCGGGGGCCTAACAGAATGCGTACCATCCTCTTCAAGTCAATGCCCAGAGCCTTCAGAACCCAGGGAGCCTTCAAGGGTGTCCCAACTTTCATTTGGGGCTCGGGGTAAAAGCTGTCGGGTTTTAGGGTTTAGGCCCGTAGGGACTTCTTGGGACAGCAGATGCTAAAAGAATGCCACTTCAGGTAAGCAGAAGCCGGTGACCAACCCAACAAGCCAGTGACCATTAAGACAAGATTCCGATTCTCCTATCCCTGGGGATCCACGTCCACAAATGCTGCCCTGATTTTGCCCTTCATGTCCATAAATACTACTTACTTTGGGCTACTTGTAACCCAAGGGTTTTGCAACCTGTTCATTGCGTTCAGCTTTGGGCGCCTTTGCTGGATGTCAGCACTGCGGGCGTTGCCCCGACATGAGGCACCGCATACATACTTTGGGCTAGGCCCCATGCAACTGTTGCGGGTTTAGGGGTTAGGATTTAGGGTTCAGTCGGTTGAGTGTTCACCTAGACCCTCCAATACAACCTCATGAACACAGAGAAGCTGTTCCCAAGGGACATCCCTACACTTTCCATGAGGGCAACAACAAGCCCCGACATTGAGGGAGATGAAGAAGTCGCAACTCGTAATTCTCTCGAAATAGATGGACTGGGCAGAAGCTCAGTAGTAGCAATGCCCCCCAGATAGTAGCAGGCAGGTCTTTTCAAAACATTGTTTGGGCACTAAGATGCACAGTCTGCATAGTGAACACCTATATAACCCCAATATACACCTTATCATACTATAGTAGTTTCCATTTTCTTTTCCGTTTATCCCTTTATTAGCCTAAGTCATCCCAAGAATACGGACCACAGCCAAGAGATAGGACCACCTCAAGAGAACCCCCCTACCCAGACCCTGAAAGGGATCTAAAAACTAGATCCCCTAGAACCATATGGGAAATTACATAAGGTTTGTATAGGGGTTTTAATGGGTCTATATAAGGCATCTAATTTTTTAGATCCTCCCAGGGGTTTGGGTAGGCAATTTGTGCTATGCGGCGACTGACCACCTAGAGTCCCGCAAAAAAAACGAAATGACTGGCAACGGAAAAGTTGGGGATGTTCCAAAAAAGCAACAAGGCTGTGTGGTCTCATCTGGTGACTCCTAGTGTTCGGAAAGCCCAAGTTTGCTGCGAGAGCCTTCATAGACTCATACACCAAGAGGCAAAAGCTGAGAGTGCGAAGAACATGAAGACCAACACAAAGAGCCGCTCTGGGAGATTCACCTTTATCCCAGACCCCCAAAGGGATCTAAAAATTAGATCCCCTGGAACCATATGGGAAATTGTAGAAGGATTATATAGGGGTTATAATGGGTCTATATAGGGGATCTAATTTTTAGATCCTCCCAGGGGTCTGGGATGTTTGGGGCGCAAGGGTTGGGGGTGTAGGGTAGCAAATGAAGAAATGGGTGAGACGGACTGCTATGGAGGTTCTCTACGGGCTACTATAGGAATGCATTCCTCTGGGTTTGGGTATTATGAAAGATTTGATTTTACACCAGGTGCGGAGATTGGGGTGTAGGCTTTGGGCTTCGAGTTTCCGGGGCGATGTACCTTAATCACAGATCCAACTTGAGCTTTCAGACATCTTGAGGGACGCCGTCGAACCTACACCCCAAATCAAATTTGCAGTTTCCCGAAAATCCTGCAGAGACCCAAGGAAGAAACTCAACTTTCAAACACCTCCACATACTAGAGTCTCTCAAAATAAGTTGCCCCTAAGGCTCTAAGGACCCCAAAGGATATAGCTATAGGGATTACAAAGAGGAAGAGAGGGATCGTTCTTGGGTAGTATCTAGGCAAGATTTTGAGAAACACCTATACATCCCCCGAAGGGCGCTGAAGCCAAAGGAGTTGCTGACCAGGATTCCCTGTTGTAGCTCGCGGAAGACTGAACTTCGACAATGAAAGCTGACAGCAGTTGTTCCTTTACAGCCCTTTGCGTTGTGGTTTAGGGTTTAGGGTTTTGGGTTTGTAGCCTAAACCCTAAACCCTAAACCCTCCGACGGCTGGCTGTTCTTGGGAGCGGCTGAAGACATCGGAACAACTTCCTGGGAGTATGCTTACACCGGCTGCAGCGATGCAGCCCTGACACGGAATTACCTCTACACACCAAAACCAAGAACCCTGAACCCTAAACCCTAGACCGAACTGAAGGTGTCAGGACTCATCTGCCACATGGAAGATCAGGGGGACTTCTTAAGTATAGGTTAATAACCCCCAATAACCCATATAATAAGTCTAGTTATTCCGATTAATAGCTTACTAGCTTAGTGCCCCTGACCCTCCAAGCATTTATCTTGGAACCTTGGCAACGCCTCACGCCTTGGCAGTGCCCTGAGGATTCGCAAGCAGGAGGACAACATTAAAGTAACTTGGGCCCATCCCCCACCCAGCAATAGGTACTTCAAGGAACTGTTGTAGGTATACTCTGTGTTCATGGCTATTGCTGTAGGGGGATGGACCTAGCATCAGACATGAACGTACTGGTGGCTAGTAGGGAATAAGGGAACATACTGCTTATACAATCCCTACAGTATGTATTAAACCCTAGACCCTATAAATTCTAAACCCCCTAAACCATTCCCTCATTCCCTACTAGACCCCCAGTTGAATCTAATAATAAAAGTTTGGAGCCCTGAGGTAGATATTGGAAGATGGGAAGAGTGATTTTGTTCAAAGAACTTCAGGGAAAGCATAGAGCACGACAACGCCCTAAATCCTAAACCCTCGCCTTCAAAACTGTATATTGTAAACTCAAACCCAAAAAGCCTGAACATCCTAAACACCGGCCTTAGAGAGTCCAAGCTCAAAGCTGTCAGTCCCAAAAACTCTGAACATCCCAGGCCTGCAGTTTAGGGGCGGTTCAGGGTTTAGGGCTTAGGGTTCAAGGTTCAGGGTTCAGGCTTCAGGGCTTGGGGTTCAGGGTTAGATGAATTGCAAGGAGGTTGCTGGAGTGACTTCGGCCGGCATCGTGCGCATCACGCCCAAAGTCCAATAGAAGCAGAAGACCTCTTGACTGCTATGTATGGTATTCAGGGTTTAGGGTATAGGGTAACTTGGGGGTTCCCAAATTAGGGGTACCTCTCTGGGGGTTCCCAAAATAAGCACTATGCTATTTTGGGGTTTATGTTGGGGTCCCCCTATTTAGGGAAATTACCACTTGGAGGGTCAGGGGGACTTAGTAAGTAGGTTTACAATGGGTACAACTAGATGAAATATTATATCAGTTATAGGGACTCATATCCTACTTACTACGTATATGCCTTAAATAAACCACCATTCAGGGTGAGGTCGGGTGAAGCCGCTATAAACCATCCAGTAATAATAAGGGCTGTAGTATGCTGAGGTCTATATTGGGGTCCCCCTGTTGAGGGAAACTACCATATGCGCAATGCATGAGTTGGCTTGTTCTCTGCGTGGCTACATACCTAAGCCCTAAACCCCTACCAGTATTGCCAGCACCAAAGCCCGCGAGAACAACCACCGCCAGGACCAAAACCACCAACACCGTCAGTTCGACAACACCGCAGCCGCCACGTGGGCTGTACCAACCACCACAACTGTTGCATCCAGTGTTTAGGGCTTACCTAAGCCACCAAGATGTATAAAGTAATGGTCGTTTTGACTGTTTTCTAGGGTTGGATATTGTTATTCTTGCTTTATAGCACTGCCTCATCAGACCAAGTCACGTAGCACTCTGCCATGGGTCGGTCAACCCAGCGCCAGGCATCTACCTCATGCAGTGCGCACTGAAGATGACGCAAGGTTTAGGGTCTAGGGCTTCGGCTTTAAGGCTTAGCGTTTTTCCCTTCTGCTTAGGGGTAGATGGGGGTATTCAGGGGTATGCCGGAGTATGTGGGGTTATATAGGGGAATATAGTGGCATATGGGGTTATACTTACATTCCGCTAGCAAGGAATGAAGGAATGGATCCATATAGTAGTCATTTTTATATAATCTGCAATAGTCGTTTCCATTTTCCGTACCATTCCTTCATTCCCTGACAACCAGAGGTAAGTCTAGCAGCCTGTATGATGCTCTGGTTCTTCAAGACTACCGCTGCATGCAGGGCTAGGGGCAGAATAATCAAGGTGGCTGATCTCTTCGCATGTGCTTCGGGCAGTTAAGGCGGAATCTGTACCAGGAGCAACCAAAACAGCAAGTCTTTCCGCGTGGCATAGGCCCAGAGCCCCAGGGGCGGCCCTTTAAGACTCCTTGCATCGACTGCACATCCTTTGGACCTCGCCCCAAACCTATTCTGGTGCTAACGCCTCTTGTGGCTCCTAATTCGGACATGTTTGACATTGCTCTTTCATCTCAATTGCTGGGGCTCTGAAAAATATGTGCCAGATGACCCTGAGATGAGCTGAAATCTAAGCTCCTACTGTAGTATCCCCCTTAATAA